ACTAGGCTGGAAATCTCGAGACAGAGATGATGTCATGAAAAATCTATCTTAAAGTTCATGAGGACGCCAGGGTTCCTTTCAATTAAATTGTATTACGGATGGTTGCTGCATTCATTTTGGCATTATCTCAAAATCATTAGTGTACTATTTATGTGTGTTTGAGGCATGATCCTTGCGACGGATCCTCGAAAGTGGCTGGGAACACCGGTCTCAGTTTTGCGGGTAACAGCACGATAGTTATGTTGAGGGTTGTACACAGAAATGCGCTGTGAAGAGCCGTGGGTTGTGCACAGCATTGCGCTATTGAGTGACATGGGCTGTGCACAGCACTGCGCTGTGGCGTGTCGTGGGCTGTGCACAGCACTGCGCTGTGGTATATCGTGGGCTGTGCACAGCACTACGCTGTGGCGTGTCGCGAGCTGTGCACAGCACTGCACTGTGGACTGTCGCAGGCTGTGCACAGCACCGCGCTGTGGCATGTCGTGGGCTGTGCACAGCACTGCGCTGTGGAGAGTCGCGGACTTGCACGACTGCAGTGCGTGATCCCGGGACCGGGGCCTCCAGCCGCATTTGCAATGCTGATGGGTGAGCGTAAGGAACGTTGAGAAGACGCGCACCGATCGCATCTCACCTCGACGCCCGTCCCAAGGGACGAGCTTAGGACCACAGCAGAAGGAGGTCAAAGGCGAGCTCAGGGCCACAGCGGAGGGGGTCAGAGGTGAGCTCAGGAGGCACAGAGAAAGGGGGTCAGAGGCGAGCTCAGAGCCACAGCGGAAGGAGGTCTCGGAGGTGAGCTCAGAGGCACAGCGAAAGGGGTACAGATGCGAGCTCAGCTTTCTTGAGAGCTCTTATCTCACCTTTTGCAGCCAATTTTTTCCTCCATATGTATGGTTCATATAACATTTCTCACAACAAGCGGTTCGAGTAATGTATTCGTTCGTCACTGCTGGCTCACGGGCAACGAACAAACGGATGAATGAATGACGGGTGCCGGACGCCGCTCACGCAGGGCACGTGCGCGTTTCGCCGTTTTACTTAAAATACTCGCCGGCGGTGGCTGAGCGAGCAGCGGGTGGTTTTGACGATAAGAAAATGCGCAGTTGCTATCCGGTAGACACAGATTATGCTTCTATGAGACGGTTGAAAGAATGACAAATAAAAGGACTAATACATTTCACATACATTTCCACACATTTTGTGCTCTTTTTCAACAGTGCAAGTTGTAGCTTGGTTTTGTGAGGCCATGTCACTGCAGTGTTACAGTCCGCTGTTCTGTGCTGATGACCGCTATTCTGTGCTGACGACCACTATTACGTGTTGACAACCGCTGTTCTGTGCCGCTGTTCTATGCTGAAGGCCGCTGCTTTGTGCTGATCGCCGTTCTGTGCTGATCACAGCTGTTCTGTGCTGACGACCACTTCTTTGTGCTGACGATCGCTGTGTTGTGCTGACGACCACTATTCTGTGCTGACGGCTGCTGCTCTGTGCCGAAGACCGCTGTTCGGTGCTCATGACCGCTGTTTTGTGCTGACCACCTTTGTTCTGTGCTGACGATCGCTGCTCTGTGCTGACGACCGCTGTTCCGTGCTGATGATCACTGTTCTGTGCTGACGACCGCTGCTCTGTGCTGACAACTGTTGCTCTGTGCATCAGTTTCGGAGGCGGACACCTGTCGGCGGGCGGGCCGGTCGCTGCTGCAGATCCTGCTGTTGGTCCTGCTGCTCTACCTGTTCGTCTGCGTCCTCGATCTCCTGGCCAAGTCCGTGCGGCTCATCGGAGGGCAGGACAGCCAGTGAGTGTCACTGGTAGTGTCAAACAATGTCAGTGTCAGGGGGGAACGGAGCAGCTCCACAAGGGAATGGATCAATTTTTAAGGCCGTTCAGCGCACTGCAAATGTAAGGCCTATCAATCAGTCAGTCATGAAACAAATGCAAATAGCCGTCGTTACGTATTGGGAGCTTTGAAGCAATGAAGTCAACTAGTTTTTCATAAGATTTTGAGCATAGCGCATGGTCACAGACCAAGCCCAATTTGTTTAGGTTTTTGTAATCAATCATGTGCCGTGTCCAAAATTGTATTACAAAACTATTCGGTTCCAAAATGACCGCTATGATAAGGAGATCATGATCACTTATTTCATGACTAACAGGACACATTTATGATCATTTAGTAAGATCGAAGCGGCAACATGTTCATCCATGCCAGCTGTGACACTGGTGATGTTCAGATTTAGAGTCAACTACGCAGCGCTGTTGCTGCCATCAAATGACCGGGTAACGAAGGCCATATGCAGATAAGAACACGCGCGACTCCCATAAGCATGACGCGAGATTCCGAGATAAGCGTGAGGCTCTGGACCGGCTCCTGCTCTAACGGCACCGCGCATGGGGATCACTGTTAAAAAGTGGACCGACTCTCCGACTAGTGTGGATCAAACACTGATAGCAGTGAGGGCTGGCTTACTGCTAGCTTACTGTTAGTTTACTGCTGGTTTACTGCTACTTTCCTGATAGTTTAACCACAGAAATCGGACTGCCTCTGAGCGGTCATTGTTGAACCGCATTCGATTCTGCTTTGCATTCAAAGCTTGCTGGCCGTACATTTTGGAAGCTGGACGAAGAGTTAAGGGCCCGGTCCGAAAGCATGCAGAAATCTACGCTACCATCTGTGGCCGTCGCGTCATCGTATACGAAATGTTGCTTCAGGGCCGGCTTTTGATGAGCCGTGACCATAAGTGAGGCATTGATCCATAGCCGCCTATTGGTGACCTGCGATGTCTGGCTTCAGGCGGCATGTTTGCCTTAGATTGGGTGTTGCTGACCTGTGACGCTTGACTTCAGGTGGCCCGTTTGCCTAGGGTCGGGATGTGATGACCTGTGGACCTGTGGCTGCAGGCGACATATTTGCACAGGGCCGGCTGCTCAGTAACCCGGTGGTGGATCTGATGCTCGGCTGTGTCTTCACGCTGCTTGTCCAGAGCAGCTCCATCTCCACCTCCATCGTCGTCTCCATGGTGGCCGCCGACTGGTGAGAGCTCGAGTCGGACCTGCCTGGACAGACGGTGAAAGCTCGAGCCACACTTTCCTGGAGAGACAGTGAGAGCTGGAGCCAGACTTGCCTGGACAGACGGTGAGAGCTCGAGCCACACTTTCCTGGAGAGACAGTGAGAGCTGGAGCCAGACCTGCCTGGACAGACGGTGAGAGCTCGAGCCACACTTTCCTGGAGAGACAGAGAGAGCTCGAGCCAGACCTGCCTGGACAGACGGTGAGAGCAGAGCTCGAGCCAGACCTGCCTGGACAGACGGTGAGAGCTCGAGCCACACCTTCCTGGAAAGACAGTGAAAGCTGGAGCCAGACCTGCCTGGACAGACGGTAAGAGCTCGAGCCCTTCCTGGGAGACAGTGAGAGCTTGAGCCAAACCTGCCTGGACAGACGGTGAGAGCTCGAGCCACACCTTCCTGGAAAGACAGTGAGAGTCCGAACCAGACCTGCCTGGACAGACGGTTAGAGCTGGAGCCAGAACCTGCCGGATTAACTCATTGTCGTGTGCTGGGTTTTCGTTTTGCTTTGCCTTGGTTTGTGTTACTTTTTTAACTTGGTGTCCTAGATTTGTTAATCGAGCAACGTTTTCCCATGATGCAGATTAAAAATAATCACTACAGTTGCCACCTCAAGTGCGTGCCAAATTTGTAAACGAAAAACATGTATTCGTCTCCACGTCGTATCCCAACCGTGAAAAAACATATTAATGCATGCATATATTACCTAAAGTTGTCTTTTTACGAAAATGGTCGGTTTACACGATATCAAAAACGGATGCATATATATATATATATATATATATATATATATATATATATATATATATATATATATATATATATATATATACATGCATATATGTTGAGATGAAGTCAGGAGGGATGCGTTACCATTAACACCTCTATCACCGGTATGCTTGGAAGCACGTCTCTTCAATTACCGCATCTTTGCGCTCCGTCATTCTGCAAATGTGACTGGCCCATTGACCCAGCAGCACTGGCTGGCAGCACAGTACTAGTAGTGAGCTCCGACGTAGGAATTTATGTTGCTGAGAAATATTTCCTTTTTATGAGAAAGCAAAGGTAGCTGACATGTTTCCAGGACAATGCTGGCGAGATGAGCAAGTTGTTCTTCTGAGTCTGTTTCGGTTGTGTCTATGGTGTTTAGCAGTCGTCTTCATGATCTCTTTCAGTTACCTTCGAGCTCGTTTCAGTTATCTATTGCAACAAAAACAAAACAAACAGCAACAAAAAACAGCTAAACAGCTGTTTCGATGGTATCCTTATGGAACGTTTTCCACATCTGTATGGGGTTTTCCAGTGGAATAGCAATGCTTTAAAAATTGATCCAAACCCTTTGAATGGATGGATTTCTGGGATGATAGCTCACGCTAAGCAGTGCTTGTTGTGTGAGCTCTGATCTCTACCACCCGATCGCGCAATTCCATGTCAACGGCAGAATTTAGTAGCGAAAGCTTAACGTGCCGCAATGCTCGGCACGGTCCGTCCCCTCTGACTTCAACTGGCCTTCGGCGCGACCGCTGCCACCGGCCACAGGCCATACCTGTCAAGGGCAAATAACGAGCGCCCTAAAGCGGCTCGAACCCACCCTGCTACCGGTGAGTGGGTCGGAAGGCCGGGGCTCCAACCAACTGAGCCACCGGGACGAACAAATATATTCAAGATCAGTATTCAAGATCATTCGGTACAGTTCACAGCCTGCCCTTTTCAAGACTTAAACCCCTCCACTTTCTGAGCTGCACGGCCGCGAAGATGTGCAGACTACTTCAAGGAGACTATTTCAAGGTCATCCAAGCATCAATGACACTACAATAACGTCATTCAAACTCTGCTATTACATTAGCCACGCGACAATGAAGGCCAAGAAAAATAAGATTGTTGAGCCGCTTATATCTGTTGTTCGTGGGTAAAATTTCCAGATACAACGGCCGTCAGTTGGCTCTCAGTCAACGTCTTGCAGGGCACGATGACGTCTTACAACAATCTGTATTGAGGAACAAAATAGGATTACGTAATCTAACAAAGACGTAATGAAGAGCAAACTTACTAAAAATAGAAGTTGTGTTGTCTAGAACAGTCTTCTCCACTAATAGTATACCTATAGTTATTCTCCACTTATATTATGCCCATAGTTATAACTGGCCTTGTTTATTTCATCATATCTGATGCATACGTCAATACCTCGAAATGTGGAACATTCCCTTCAAGTCACCTCTGTGGCCTGTTTCAGTTCTCTCCGTGCGCATCGCCATACCGATGGTGATGGGCGCCAACATCGGCACCAGCATCACCAACGACATCGTGTCCCTCACGCAGGTTAGCGCAACAGCGCCGAGCAGAGCACGCGGCGTGGCATCCGGTCTTAATAGGTGCGCTGAATTTCGTCCAAAGAAGCACTGCATCATGCAGTCACCCGACAACAATGATGCGTTGGTCATGACACGCTAAGTGCTGCAATGTCTCATCAGAAAAAAACACGTCATGAAATGTGAAAAGGATTGTGAATGCGCATCAGGTTTGAACACCTAGTGTTCCCCAACCTGTTAAGATTCATGACTGACATCAGCGCCCCCCCCCCCCCCCCCCCGCCACCCAGATGTACACGACAGGCACACATGATCTCGTGTCTAACATTTTTGCCACAGAATAACCAGATTTGAGATATTTCACGAGGCGCGCTAGCGTTCATGCGATTGGCTTCGTGATGAATCGGGTCAATAACATTTCAATAACATTTAGTTACGCTCGAGTCTAAGGTCAAGTATGCTACCATTGAAGAACCCGCGGCGACTCCCTGGCTGCCTCCCGTTACGACCTGTAAGGGCTCGCCAGCCGTGATGTCGACTTAGGCGTGGCTGCTTGGGATACGCTGCAGCTATTCCATTCCATTCCATTCCATTCCATTCCAGCACATTTAGAGCCTGCGTTTCGGCTTTTCAACACCGCCTGGCCAGGGCTTTCAACATAGGCATGTTCTGACTAAATTATGGAAAATGGAGACATGTTTTTGGACAGGCTGGGCGATTCCCAGATTCATACCGACAGCAGGCAACTTAGTTCTGGGGGTCACAAAGAGAGTCACTCCCGGTACATTCAACGTTATGCACTTCCTTGTGTTTGTCTACTGCGACTTACTCTTTGAGTTGTCCCAAAGATGTTGACCCGATCTCTTCCGTTCAAACGTTATCAATGCGCATAGCGCCGGTTGCGGCAGTGCACCCAGTTTCGTCGCACGTTACGGTACGACTAGACTGCACATGGTGTGTGACTGTGACTGCACGGCCTGAGTTACGTCGCATGATTACACGGTTACGACTGCAGGCCAGACTGCATGGCACATGACTGCACGGCTAGACTGCATGATAAGTAATTGTCTGGCTAGACTGCGCGGCGTGTGACTACACGGCTAGACTGCAGGCCAGAGTGCATGGCACATGACTGCGTGGCTAGACTGCATTACAAGCAACTGCCTGGCTAGACTGCAGGCCAGAGTGCATGGCACATGACTGCATGGCTAGACTGCATTACAAGCAACTGCCTGACTAGACTTCGCGGCATGCGACTACACGCCTAGCCTGCACACGGCGCGTGACTACACGGCTAGACTGCACACGGCTCGTGACTACACGGCTAGCCCGGATGGCTAGACTGTGCAGCTCGGCAGAACATTCCGGTTGCGAGGTGTGCTTCGCGTGGTCATGCTGCTGTAATGTGACCTGCCTCCAATTCGTTAACCTGAAGTGAACCACTTCGGTCTATTTTCTTCAGTTGTAGCTCTGACTCCGCGTCTAGTGAGGTGACCCTGTTGACCTTACCTGACCCTTGTAGCCGAACCTCGGGCTCTTGGGCTCTTACCTGACCGCTGCCGTTTTCACCTGGCACGTGCTGGACGACATTAACTCTGATGGTATAACATTATTCTTGTCATCATGACCCCACGCATCCGCCCCACTTTCCTCATTCTTGCTACACCTCGTATCTTCGCACAATCTCATTTCTCCAGGGCCGGCTGCATGCACCAGCCAGAACGAGCCAAAGGGCGCCCTGGTGGGGGCCCCGTCAGAGCGCCTAGCACGTACTCAGGACAGGGGTCCATGTGCAGACCAAGTCTGGGGGGATGATTCCCCAGGTGCTTGTTGTTCTGCCCCACCTTTATCCATTCTCCTTCGTCTCAAAGCTCGAAAATTGTGATGACTGGCCGAAAGAGTTCTAATCCAAATAGCCTAAGGCAGTGGCCCATCCACTACCCTCATGGTCCTAGTGGCGTGGCCGTCTGTTATGCGCTAATGGCCTGGCCGTCACTGCATTATCTGATGCACGACCTGTGTAATTACAGTTGAGTGCCGTAGTATGCCACCTGTCTGTTATGGACAAACACGTCTGCTTTTGTCTGACTCTCCTGCTGTGTTATTACCCTTGCTGTTAAAACTGTCCGCTCCCGTCAGTCAATTCTTACTACCAAGTTGTATGGTTCTCATCTACCCCTTGTCCTTCTCACCTGACCCCTGCTGTTCTCACCTGACCCCGCCGTGCTCCCTTCACATCAGTCGTTCTCATCTGACTCCCGTTGTTCTCAACTGACATTAGCCATGTTCAGCTGACCCCTGCTGCTCTCACCTGACCCTTGCCACTTGCACCTGATCCCTGCTGTTCTCGCCTGACTCGTGTCATTTCCACCTGACCCCTGTTGTTCTCACCTGGCCCTCGTCACTTGCACCTGACCCCTGCTGTTCTCAGCTGACCCTTGTCATATCCACCTGACCGCTGTCTTCTCATCTGGCCTTTGACATGTCCACCCGACCCCTACCATTTTCACCCGACCCCTGTTGCTCTCACCTGACCCCTCCGTTGTGGTCGACAGTTCCCGGATCGGCATGTGTTCGAGCGGGCGTTTGGCGGCGCCTGTGCGTACGACATGTTCAACCTGCTGAGCGTACTGGTCATGCTGCCACTGGAGCTGTTTATACAGGCTGTCAACCCCGGCGGCGAGGGTAAGTCATCACCGCACCGGCAGACACAGACAGCTGGCGACGTGGTAAGCACAACCCCGGCGGCAAGGGTGAGTCATCACCGCACCGGCAGACACACACAGCTGGTGACGTGGTAAACACAACCCTGGCGGCGAGGGTAAGTCATCACCGCATCGGCAGATACAGACAGCTGGCGGCGTGGTAAGCATGACGCTTTCGCCAGTGCTTTATGCCGCCCACAACGCGGATACTGCCGTGGCAGTTGGCTGCACTGCTTGCAGCGGAGGGAGGGGAGGGGGGGGGGAGGAGGTAAAGCTGGTGGCGAGTCTCGAACCGTCGTGTCGATGGCCTCCCAGTCACAAGACCGGCCCACTCCACCGACTCAGTTGCCACGACCTCGATGCTGTCACTAGCAGGCTAGCACACTAGTTAGTGTTCGGAGATGCTGACGTCGCGGAATAGCTCAGTGTTAGTGTCTTAGTTTCTGCTCGCGCGTCGCTGGATGGTGCCATGGGCGCGAGAAAGCACGTCGGAGTGGTTGCTAGAAATCCGTGTTTTGTAGTGCCTCCCTGCTGCTTTGGAGAGTTTTTTTTGTTGTTGTTATTGTGTTCTTAGGCGAAAAAGCGTTGGATAGTATGGTGAGGTTCGAATGGACACATCCACGCTAAGTGAGAAGTTTTGACATGCGTGTGTGCCTGTACACAAAATGCGAAATGCTTGCCCTTTTCTGCCACGCCGCCTGAACAAAGCATCTCAATTGCTATTGAGGGAGGAAAGAGGATGTAAGCTATTATCACGTTATACCCAGCCTACCCATTCCGTCGATTGTCCATGGGAACGCTTCGCCCTAGCTGCGATACATCAACAAGGTGACTGATGCAGTGCTGCCTCTTTATTGTTTAGGTTACCTCGAATATCTGACGTCAGTGATCTTGAACGCGACGAGGTTCCGGACGACAACCAAGTACCGCATCCGGGTACTGCAGACCATCACTAGGCCGCTAACGGATCGGATGGTGCTGGTGAGCGTCGCCTCCCAACCGTGTGATAGAGGTGGTCAAGAATCGCCGGTGAAGAAGCGACAGACAACGTATTTATCACTGCACCCATTTGTTGAATATAATCTAACACAGGTCAATGAAATGCCACTGCTGGCCAGCCTAGATGAATAAGTAACCGAACCAGTATAATCGACAGTGATGCGTTTCGCAACCTGAAAGAATCCAGTGCAGTATGAAAAGTCTTATCTCTTGATGGGTGAAATGTGCTGCGTCTTAGGTACATATACGCACTTCAAATGCAGCGATTCGAGTTACTCATGTATTTTGCGCTGCAATTATGGTGAAGCTCTGCATATGGATCTTGGCAGAACCTTGGCTAAGAACGATTGTTTTGCTGTCTCCCCCCCCCCCCCCCTGACGGGAGTGTCCAAGTCTTCACCAAAAATGCTTGAAAGCACAAAAGGAAAACAAGCCTGAACTTTTGAAATATGAGCTACGCCGTGCCTTTCTTTTCTCAATGAATATTGTTATGCTCCGCCCAACCCTACCATACATCTACCACGCACACAGCTTGTCCATACCAAAACAGGTCATCTGCAAAGTAGGAGACTTGGTACAAATGAGATAACAGGAACAACGTACGAGATAAAGTAAGAGTATCCTTACATGAGACTTCTCAATATGTAGATATGAAACGTTTCTATTTGTACTCGCGTGGTGTTGTCACGTTTCCCGCACTCCCGCCCTTGCATTCGTATTCCGTACTCCCGTCCTCCTAGATAACTGCCGTGATATTCCGCATTGAAACTTTATTACGATACATTTTTTTCTAATCACTGTTGCATACGCATTTTCTGGTGCAACACAGGCCAAGCTCATTATTGTTCTCACTCAGTTGCGAGGATCATGACATGACAGATTTTTCCTATCAAATGGCACTTAACTCCGACAAATTCACTAAAAAAATACAATTTTGCCCCTCAGAGCTCCCTCCGTTCCCTTTTTCTGCTTCCTTTTCCCCGATTCCTTTTGCCCCGCTTTCCGCTTTTATGCCCCTGCGCCTGCCGTAAGGACTATGTACCGCTCGCGCGACCCGGGGAGGTCACCCTAGCGGCGCGAATCGACGAGGATCGGCACGAATCACAACCTCTGCACCAACGCCGACAGCTGGACGAGGCCGTGCTGGAGGAGTGGGTTCACAACACCACCAACGTCTCGGACAACTCCCTCATCGTCAGGGACTGCGGACAGGAGCACGACGCGCCAAGCTGTAAGTGTCAGGCATCCCTTGATATCAGCATGCTGCCAGCGCATCAGGAGAACGCTGCATCAGGCTCGACAGCCGCTGCATCAGGGCTCTGGTGAATCGGAACACCACTGCTCACAAAATCGCGCCACTGCATCACAGAGACCACTGAGACCACTGCATCTCAGACCACTGCACAAAGTCCACTGTATCTGTGCGTCTGTGCTCTGTGCTTCATCTTTGCTCATGCGACCCCAACATCAGGCTATCACGGCATCAGGTGACACGTGAGCAACCAGCGTAGCCGTAGACCGCTCCGCTTGTTACTGGGCCACGGTAGTATGACGTCATCAGTGAACTCCAGTGAGTCTCAGGGAAGCATTCTGAGAGGCGGAGCCCTGTTCGTGCCAGGGGGGTCGAGATGTGCTGACCAGGGTGAGGTGGTTGTCAGCTGTGTGGGTCCCCTCAGGGCACATTGTCACAGGCCGCGGGCGTGTGACGACGACACATTTCTCACACATTGTCACAAGCCGCGGGCGTGTGACGACGACACATTTCTCACACATTGTCACACATTGTAGCACATTTTCATACAAAGAAGCACATTTTCACACATTGCCACACACTGTCACACATTGCCACACATTGCCGCACGTTGTGACACATTGTCACAACTTGTTTATTCTCACGCATTGCCACAAATTATCACACAATGTCACACATCGTCACACATTATCACAAATCGTCATGCATTGTCACACATTTCACACATTAACACACATTGTCGCACGTTGTCGCACATTGTCACACATTTGTCACACGTTGTCGCACATTGTCACAGATTGTCACTCACACTGTCACACTGGGCGGGTGACAGTGTGAGTGACAGTCACGATTGACTTCCGGTGAGAAGCAACTAACCGACGCTGCTCACTAGACTGGTGAGAAGGGCCTCGGGCTGGGACCTCATCCGGACGCTTCCGCCAACTGATCCAAGATGGCCGCGTGTCGCAGCTGACCTGCTGATGGTCTGCTGACACCGCTGATGGTTAATTGTGCCGCTGACCTCCGCGCCGTCGACGTATATAACCTGTACCCTCTGTTTGCCAGGTGCGTCCCTGTTCAGCTTGACCACATTGAGGGATGACCACGTGGGCATCATCCTCTTGTTCGTCTCTCTCTTCCTCATGTCACTCTGTCTGTTCTGCATGGTCAAGATGTTCGTCTCCGTGCTGAAAGGTCAGTGCTCGAGGCTGCGTGCATCTCTAAACATCCCAGGAGCTTGTCAAAGACGTAAATAATTATCGCTGAGAGGTGGCCACAGAGACCTCATTGACTTCAGAGATCACCATAGGTCCGGAAAGCCACCAGAAGCGTGGGTGCGAGGGGACAGCAACACATTTTTGGCCCCTTTAAATCGGCTTCTTGCCAGGCAACATGCAGCGCCCTGCAGTTGGTGCTATTTATTTTTCTAAACTGGGAGAGGACATATTTCACTTCCACCCCCTTCTTCACCAGTTACCATCCCAACTCAGGCGCATTTGCGCGCATTTTACTCAGCTGCCTCAAGAATGCATCCACCTGTCCGGCAAGTTTGGCTTTGTTTAGCCAGGCGCGGATTCAATTCCAAACAACCGAGCCGACCCCGAGCCTCAGTCAGTGCTTTGGTTTTGACCAGTGAGCTCGCTCTACGCATCAAATGGTTAACAAATCTGAACGCCGCGTTCCAAGGTTCTGAGCTCGATTCCGGACCCGGAGCCACAGGGCCTGGATTGTGGGTCCCTGGTCTAAATCATTCAGCTTCGCTGCACATTGGTCCAAGTCTGAGTCTGAGGTATGAGAACTGATGTCCAAGTCCGAACACATTGTCAGACGGCGCTTGCACTTTGGCTGGCATTGCCTGCGTGTTTTTCTGGTTTCCTATCGCATCCCATTATTCTCCTATTGTCAATATCCCTGCTGTTGACTGCAGCAAGAACACTGCCTGGAAGTCAGAACAACCAGCGGTGGCGCAGCCGAGCACGCAAGGTGTCTGCACGCACAGGCCCTGCCATCAGAGCAGCACAAGGCCCCTGATAACAACGTCTCGCCTCCAAAGTGGCAGGTGACGGTCACAAGAAAATCACCGAGTGTCACAAACTCCCGGAGCAGACTTTAGCCGCACATCAAGGCGGAGCGGCGTCCGGCACTGCCCATGCCTCCACGCCCGCGTGGAGACCGAGGACGGCCAGAGGGCGGGTTAGGGAATGAAGCCAGCACAGACCGAGGCCGGTCAAGGTCAAGACAAAGAACCCTGCGTGGGACATGCCGCTGAACCGGGAGTGTGGCGGGCGCCCTCGCGGTCCGGGCCGGGAACAATCACCGGCAGAGAGGTCACCGCATGGTGAAGTTCCCCGCAAGGGGCTTCGTCCCAGGGCACGCAAGGCGCACCAACAGAACTGACGTAGCCATGGAGAGGCAACCGATTAGGCGGCGCTAGCAGGGGTGGTCAGACAGGGGTCAGAGGGCCGAAGTCGCAGGAAGAGGAAGGCACGTGACCCCTGACCTTTGACACTTAACCCTTGACCGTTGACCTTTGACACTTGACACTTGGGGGCTAGCGGTCAGGCTGAGGAGACGGCGCTTCGCTAGGAAGGCACACTCTATAGCCGAAGCCAACACGTCAGTGGAAAAGCTGGAAAGAACAACTGGAAATTGACGGTCTGCTCTCCGCTTTCGCCACTTGGGACGTAACGCCGTCGCCGCCTTGTATGGAACGGAATTCGCCGACCCCTTATCTCAGCCTCGGGCTCCACCCTGAGCGGTGTGAGCAGTGAAGTTACCCTCGCCAGGAATTGGTCAGCTCCACAGCTGTACACAGTTCTGTTGGGAACGCGGAGAGTGCAGCGCGTTTCTGACTGAAGGACATTGCTGGCGAATGTGCCAGGCTGGATGAACAGCTGTCATTACTGTCATATAATGTCAAGAGGAGCATTAAGAAACAAAACAAATATCGCTGACCACGCAAGATTACAAAATCTTCAGAAGCCAATTTGCGAACATATTCCCCAACTTTGAAGCACCTTGTAACCATGGATAACAGGAAAATAGGCACCCGGAGGATCCTGTGATTGTCACGGGCCCCTCAGGAAAGTTCAAATCCATCAATGATCAAATTTTGTCATTTATGCGAACAATTGCAAGATGCTGATGCCCTGTTTTGTGGATTAATCAACCACAAGGTACAACAAGCCTTGGAGACATATCTTGAATCCTTTGCAAACTTGCACAAACATGCTGAAAGCCCCATATGCAGCCTCGTTGTAACGCTGCAACATCAGCTCCCATAGGGCGCAAGACCGAATCCGAATTGGAGCTCCAGAAACAATGAATTTTTGCACCAGACAGCAGCTCTGATGGAAACCGTACGGGGAGGGTTACCAGGATGGCATCTTGTTAAAGACACAGGTTGTCAAGGGCTCGACAACCCGTCGAAAAAGTCGAACTCATTGTGTCGTCAATAAGCTTAGCCTATCATGGCGTAACGAACTCTAGCTTATTCCATGCAAACGTATCTCAATCAACCTTCATCTACCTGGGAACGAATGTCTTTATCTGGCACCTTTTTCCCATTGTGATATGAGTATCACGTTATCTTTTTCATGCAGCTCTTTACGTTGTTTTATTTTCAGTGAATCGAGCCTTCAGTAATTTTGGTTGGAACCTCAGTGCGGCCCCGTGGTCCCGACTTTCGGAATAATTTTGCTGCATTTAATGGTGATGCTGGGTCCTAAGCTGAGTTCGCCGACCCAACTCTCTTAAAAAGAATTGTGAGTCGGAGTTTGAACGGGATTAATATGAGACGTGAGTCGGTTTCTTTGAGTCCAGGGCTCAGAATTAATGAGGCCAGAGAAGAATCATGGTTCAGACGATTTTGGACACATTATTTTTAGATAACTGGTAGCGCCTGTGTTTGTATTACTGCGCTCTTTGTTCAAGATGTGTACCAGGTGCATGACATTAATTTAAGCCCGCGGTTAGCGCGGCTTAACTGAACCCCCCAGCGCAGCAATCACGCCGACATCACCAGCAGCGGGCGTCTGTGCCGTGCTGCCACCTAGCGTACGAACTTGCAGATCGAGTTTTGAAAATGTGTCACCCAAAGTTGGATTCGCCACGATTCAAGCCCATCATGATAAAGGCAGAACCAAAAGTGTCTATAAACACTAATGCCACAAAAACAATTTCGATGATCTTTGCTGTGTGTTTTAACTCCCATATGAAGTTCAGCGACCTGCGCAGCACGTCACGACAGTGGTCACCTTGGCTCGGTGTGCGGGACTTCAACGATGCCGTCAGAC